AAACCTTATGTATAGTGTATAAATCTGAAATTTATAGTACTAATGTATGATTTTGGACTACCCTTCCTTTACAGTTTATTTAGCATAATGAAAAACCGGCCAATATGATTAAGACCTTTTTTTTCTATTAATAGTTCACAAATTAGAACTTCTAACAACTAGGCCACAGAAACCCTCAAAACAAATTTCATGACTGAATTTACTCATAGTTGGTCCGTTCCATGAAGCAATTAATTAAAATGCTTAAAGTATTTTAATTACGTTCAAAGCTGACCAAAAATAAATGTAGTGACAGTTTAAGCGTCAGTTCAATGATGTAACGCCACATTTCGCTTGTGTCGTGTGCTGAAAGGAAATTAAATTTATCGCACTGATTTTATTATGGAGATAAATTGTATTATTTTATTAGATATTACTCTGGCATCACGTAGGTTTCGACCAATCACCGGGCTGCACCAAGGATGACGTTGTGCCGTGGGCCGCGAATCGCGTTGCATTTTGTCGCTCCGTAGCGTTAAGTTGTTTTTTTTTGTAAACCATTTTATCGGCCATTACATACTTAGCTCTCACGCAACCAACACCTTTTATTCATTTCTTTAAAAAACCTCAAACCTCATCATCCATCAGCTTGCTTACGAAAAGCCACTCACCGCTGCCGCAACAGATATAATTAAAATATATTTTAAAAATACGTCGTTGGATCGCAATGTGGCATTCATTTTTTTCTTAGTTATAGAATAACTTTAATAATGATTGTGTTCTTTGTAAATTAAGTGTACCTTTTTTGTGAGGGAAAGCTTCAAATGACTTCTCACGCCCAGGGTGAGGCGAGATGCAGTGTCAGACTCTTACTGACTAAACCCCTTATCCTTTTTCTGCTCCTGGCCGAGTAAGATGTACCTATTGCGCTTACTCCGTCTGAAAATTGGCCCTGAAGGGCCCCGTTGTGATGGTCTAAATTTAAGGGGACCCTCAATCGACGAGCATGTATAACGTAACGTATATAAGAGATTTATGAATGTACAAGAAACAAACAGGTGCACCAGAATTATAACTTTTAGCGTCCTATTGTTACTGCTCACTTGAGAGATAGACATGGCGGATTTATGTAAGTCTGTAGGTCTGTCAGTAATGTACTAAATAGAACACAAGGAGCCCTATAGCTCAAAAATTATACTGCACTTCTAAACGAAACTACCTACTACTGCATTGGAACCCATGTTTACCTTAACTTATTTTAAAAAGAAATTGGGTATTCACTTATAAAAAAGTTTCAGCATATCATCGAACATCGCTACAGCTTGTCACTGCAACCTCACCTTTATTGCGTTCTTAACAAGAGCATGCAATTTGTTCATGTTTACACTTCTTATTTCGATCCCTTGATAAATGATACGCTCTGTCGCATGTTTCCCCGGTTCAAGTTCGCCTTTGCACAATTGTTTCATCTGATATCAGTACAAAATGCCGTCCTTTTGTTTGTGAATACAATGTCGTTCCGCATTTTAAAGAGATAGTTACATTATTTTATTATGATCCCAAATATTTACTGATTCGTGAAATGAAATGACTTGTTTGAGTGATACTGTGCAATGTATTTGAAAATGAATCGAATCGATTCGATTCTGAAAGAGCAATCGATTGAAATTCGAAATATCCATCTTGTAATAGTTTTTTAATTATTTATATCTATTTGTAGAGAGATAAAAAGAAAATTTTGCATTAATTAACGATTTTTCTTAAAGATCTGAAAATTAGTTTACTACAACCAATTTAGAAGGAATTATGAAAAATATAAATAAAGACTTCCATGAAATTAATTCAAATAATAGCTCTTTGTTCGAAGACAGACCTTAATATTTCCATCAACAATTCGTACCTAGATTATTTTGTCTGAAACCTCCGTGTACAATTGAAAAAGGGTGCCTAACAAGAACATTCAGACATTATTTTCTCTAACAACTTAATTTTCTATTGTTTTAAAACAGTTATTAGCATATCAAAAGTTTGTAATTTATAAATTTGTTTCTAGGGCTTTTACTGAAGTTTTAATTTTGTGCTGTCTGATTTTTTTTAACTTGCAACGTATATATCTTATCGTAGGTATGTTTTCACAAGCCACTAAATGTTGTGGCTTGAGATATCTTCCACCAAATGACTTGAGATTGATACACGTTTAGTCATCATATGACTATGGATGCTAAGCTATATAACTTTACTCTAAATCTATACTATCTATACTAATATTATAAACAGGTAAAATTTGTAAGTTTGTATGCAGGGGGTAATCTTTGGAACCGCTGGTTGGATTGCCAAAATCCTTCACCGATTTATAGCTACAATGTTTCCGAGTACTATAAGATATGAAACACCACGCTACGATCAAATGGAGCCGAGCAAAGCTGAAACCGCGCGAGAGTATCCTATAAAATTTTATTGTTAGCCATTTGACTTATAATGTCATTAAGCTCAAAGAGCATACGCATTGCATAATTTTGCGATTAGCTTAGTTATTTAGCTTAACACTCTAATCTCATCATTATCATTATACACACACAAGGCGTCCCGTGCTAACTAATAGCTATTGCCAAAACTACGTATGACAAAATAAGTATCAGTGTTATAAAAAAATTCTATCTTTCTACTCCATAATGGAAGATGCATATTCGTTAAAACTGTAGTTGGTGTTCTGTTGATTAGTTTTTTCATTAATTTACATAACTGTGTTGACCATAAAGCATTAAAAACATACATAAAACAACCAACAACCGCTTTTACTTTCAGAATATTAATGACATTTGTTATTAGAATAATTGCGTAAAAGAAGGGCAAGTCGAAAAATTGTGACGCAGAAAAAGTTAGACGAGGTCTGTTTGAAAATTAGAGACAGGAATAAAAAGCAATCCTTCTTTTTCAAAATGAAACGTCAAGTTTTGCTAACGACCCGCGAAGCCGCCGAAATTTGCAAACAACAATTCAAAATGTAATTGCTTGAGTTATAGGCGTTAGTCCCCAAGATTTTTTGCGTTGTGTTAGCTGTTATAAATTGGAAGGGTTTTTTGCTCGATTGTTAGTGGAATTCGGTTTTGTAAACTTTTTCAAATTATTAATTTAAGGGTTGTTTTTGTTACGAAAATAAAATAAAATATCTAAAGTTACTTTAATACTTATACCTAAAATTAAGTTTATGTAATAATATTTTCCAAATGAAAAATATATTTTTGCGTAGGTATGTAATACGAAACAAAATGATAGACAATGACAATGACAGACAATGATATTGAGTTTATAATAAACATATTCAGCAAACAAATTACAATACATATTGTAGCAATACATACGTTATTTGGATAATTAGAAGCTCAAATAAATGTATCAATTTTAGTAGAGTAATGGCAGCTATAATACTTGGTCCTAAGTTAGTAACAACCTATGACCTAGAAACTCACCCACTTTCTTGACTTTATCACGACAAAAACTACATAATACTTATCTAAACCCATATCAACTGACAAAATAACAGATATTAACCTACTTGGGTGCGAGACTTAACCCACGTAAGGCACCTACATAGAGAATCCAATACTCCACCCACATCGATCCCTATTTTCCTTAATAACAAGGCTTACATTCGTTTATTAGTTCCAAACTGCCACCAGTCACTATCGATACCCCAGTTGGGTATTATTTTAAGAGACGCCCCGCACTTTACAAGTGCAGTTACAGTAAAAGTTTGGCGAAAACGAGCGAAGAGATTTGTGCGGCCGTAGTTAAATGTTTCGCTACCAAAACTGTACCGTTTTGGGCATTGTGGGGGCGTTGTTTGGTAGAAATTGCAGGTTATTTTTTCACCAAACCACTGAAAGTAGGAAGTGTAATAATTTTGTTGGATCCCGGTCAGTGACTGTGGGGTTTGTATTTGGACATTTATACGTACTTGGCTTTGTTGTTTAATTTATTGGCGATCGCTATTACCTATTCTTTATTGTTCTCGGCACTTTTCATTCCATTTGGCATTTTTATTGCCATCGTTTGATTAAAAATATAAATTTGTTGCCGTATATCAATTTGTTTGTTTTATTACCTATAACCTATATCCAAGTGTGTTGTTTTTACCATGTAATGAAATATCAAAATTCAATGATCAAAAGTATATTGTATTCCTAGTTCCTGAATTTTTCTTCTCATGTAACCGGACACTTGTAATAGCTTTATCAAATCAGTTCCGATAGTAAACAAATAAGATAAACTGGAAACGATCGTATAATATTATATCAAATACCATTTTCCTTGTACATATTGGATTATATTGAAGACAAATTCGTCGAAATCAGTTTTTGTTACAATACATGTTAAATAATATTAAATCTCACTGGCTATTTAAGTTATGATTTTATTTTTCGAAAAATATTAGTTATTATGAATAACTGAGATATACAAACAGAGTGATAGCACGATCTCACAAAATACTAGCGTGAAACACCGTTTGCGTTGTGTTTTGTCGTGTGAGTGAGGTTTCTGGACACCCAATACCCCCTCCTTATCCTTTTCCTCATCCACAATCTTCAAGTCTCAAAATTCACAAAAAAGGCGTCAACGCATTTGTAACTCTTAGTGTTGTAGGTGTCCATGGATGGCGGCGATTGCTTACCATCGGGCTATACGTCTACTTGTTTTCCGACCTACATACAAATATAATGAGACTTAAAATTTAGGGAATCATCACTTTAATTAGAAGAATATTTTTAATCCAAAACCTTTTACCTAATATGCAAATATTAAACAAACATGATTGTAGTTTTGAACTATTTACAAACACAAATGACGTTTATTAGGCCAGCAACGTGCCTGTGACGACCCTGGTGTTGCGGCGGCGCTGATCACTTACCATCAGGTGATCCGTATGATCGTTAAGGTCCTATCCCATAAAAAAGGTTTAAATAAGAATTTGAACATATCGATTAATAGTAATACATATTAATAGAATATTTTTGTTCCAGTGTTCAAATCCCAGACATCGCTGTCTACTGACTCTGGGCTGTGCACTGAAAGGGGACTGCGCCGGACCCACATCGAGTTAACTAAACCTCCAGGGAAACGCATCGGACTTAAACTGGCAGGTATGTGCAATTTGGTCGACTCTAAAAAGAGGAAAATTTAACTTCGTAGATACCATGACATATTTAAAAAAAGAAGTCAAACAATGAATTTGAATTTTCTTATAGATCAGGAATGTTATCTTACTTGATTTGGTCTTTATTCTGCGTTTTTGAATATAGAAAACAATCAATCAGTATTTTATTTATAAAACTTCTTTTATAAATAAAATATAATGTATTTTTTTGGAATTATATATTTTCTTTTAATAATAATTTGATGACAAAAAAAATCAATCAACATTACAGAGATGTATTTTAAAAATTTCACTACTTGCATTATCTTAGGTACCAAAAAGTTCTAAAGTTTAATTTTGAGATCCTTTGTTCTCTTTAAGGAATATTTCATATAGATCAGCGATCAAACTGAACGTTAGATTAAAATTCTTTGGCCAGAATGTGGGTTTTCCTCCACGTGTACCTACACTTTGCCAAAGATTAATGTTTGATACTAAACTACAAATAAAACACAACTTGACTTAGTTCCCCGAGGGACGACCAAGAGTGGATTTATAGAAAAGCAATTTATTTCGTGTGAATCGTGTGATAGTTGAAATATTTGCCATAAACCTTCGATCGAAATTATTTTCAAAATATTATCCTTTTATTTCCTCATACCTATATTAAATAGCTTTAATTGTTTAGTAGACGAAGTATTCTTTGAAGTTTAAATAGTGACTTCGGATTATCTAAACTATCCAAACTTCCAAACTAATGTTATAAATTCGAAAGTAACTCTGTATGTCTGTCTTTTCTTCATGCCTAAACTACAGAACCGATTTCTGTGAAATTTAGTAAAGACATAGTTTGGAACTCGTGAATGCACATAGGATAATTTTTATCACTATTCCACGCGAAAGAAGTCGTGTTCAAAAACTTGTTTGAAATAAATGCTAAAACTGAAAGTATAAAAATTTTTAAAACGTCGAATTTTTTCCAGTCTTATTGGAACACTTCACACCCAGACCCTGAACAAAAATTTGCAGATCATACTTAGAGTTGTTCTGTTTAGGGATCGTTGAAAATGTTGTGCGGGAGCCGCTTGCAGAAAAGCATTTTGAAATAACTTTTTACATTCGAACATGTTCATTGATACTACACACATGTGTGTATGAGCGAGGAGATAATACCAACACGCGTTGCTATTTAAACGCTGTAAAAATTCACAAAGCGATCAAACTGAACGTTAGATTAAAATTCTTTGGCCAGAATGTGGGTTTTCCTCCACGTGTACCTACACTTTGCCAAAGATTAATGTTTGATACTAAACTACAAATAAAACACAACTTGACTTAGTTCCCCGAGGGACGACCAAGAGTGGATTTATAGAAAAGCAATTTATTTCGTGTGAATCGTGTGATAGTTGAAATATTTGCCATAAACCTTCGATCGAAATTATTTTCAAAATATTATCCTTTTATTTCCTCATACCTATATTAAATAGCTTTAATTGTTTAGTAGACGAAGTATTCTTTGAAGTTTAAATAGTGACTTCGGATTATCTAAACTATCCAAACTTCCAAACTAATGTTATAAATTCGAAAGTAACTCTGTATGTCTGTCTTTTCTTCATGCCTAAACTACAGAACCGATTTCTGTGAAATTTAGTAAAGACATAGTTTGGAACTCGTGAATGCACATAGGATAATTTTTATCACTATTCCACGCGAAAGAAGTCGTGTTCAAAAACTTGTTTGAAATAAATGCTAAAACTGAAAGTATAAAAATTTTTAAAACGTCGAATTTTTTCCAGTCTTATTGGAACACTTCACACCCAGACCCTGAACAAAAATTTGCAGATCATACTTAGAGTTGTTCTGTTTAGGGATCGTTGAAAATGTTGTGCGGGAGCCGCTTGCAGAAAAGCATTTTGAAATAACTTTTTACATTCGAACATGTTCATTGATACTACACACATGTGTGTATGAGCGAGGAGATAATACCAACACGCGTTGCTATTTAAACGCTGTAAAAATTCACAAAAAAATATCCCATCACTTTTAACTAACAAAAACAAATTTCAAATTCCGAACATTGAATACAATTCCAAAAACAACTAAAGAAGAAACTAAAAATAACAGGACATTTAATAAGAAAAGACATGACCATTTTGCAACAAGAATCAAAAATTAATCCAGTGACATCTTAGCTTGGAGATTTACGTCGTTAGCTGGGAAGACGAAGCCAGATTTCTGAAGGCTTTGTATTACATTTTACTGTCTACGTCCTGGACTTAAGTACATATATGCTGGAAACTTGAGTTTATCGAGGAAAGATATTTCGTTCGGTGTCTTAAAAAAATGTTAATGTTTTCTAAAGCATTTGTAATAACAATATATAGTTATAGTAATGTTACTATTGGCAAAAGATTTGCTCTATTTAGGACTTTGTTAAATCTTAATTATAATGAACGTGTCAACACAATCAAAACAATGATATTCACCTCACGTTGAAGTAAATACAAAAGCTTTATAATAAAACTGAATATTCATACATAAAATAATCCTTACGTTGAAATAAATATGGAATAGCAAACTTTTATTCCTTTTTTAAATTTAAAAGAAGAATAAATAATTGTAATTCCATATTTAAAGTACCTAGGTATGCTACATACCTATGTATTTTATTTTTTTGCATTTTAATTTTCTTTGTTTAAGTAAAAGAATTATTATTGTATTCTTTATTTCATTTTATCGAAATCCTGATTGGACGTTTACAAACAGAAGCAATATGGTGGTAACTTTAAAAAAAGAATGTTTCGTAAAAAGAATGATGATCAAACTGATTGGACCATATTTGCTGTATATTCTCAAAAATATGGGTAAAGTGAGAGAGTAAAAGATTTTTTCACTTTTAATTCACAATTAACTTGCCAAAATAAATCGTATTCCGCGTGCATAAATAGGGGAATTCGAGCTGTTTTTCACTGTTGTGACGTCATGAACGCACCGTATTGCCTTAATGTGCTGTGTCACTCGATTAATGGTACCTACTATAGCATACACGGTTTCAACACACATAAATATTTTTCACACTTCGTATCGAGATTTATTCGACATAATAAAGCTTAAAAAGGAATGACAATTGTACATTAAATTTATTATTAAAATAATAGTGGAACTGCAACATGAAATAGATCGGTAACAAATAAGGTATTATTATTTATTCTTTTTGTCTGTCTAGAACTCATTTGTTTTAATTTTAATATTATATTGATATGAACGGTTTCCATGACACATAGCTGTAGTATTAAACATATAGTACTGAGAAAATTGAAATGCAATTCCTAGTACGAATTTATTATGCTGTATTCATATTGATGATAGATTATTATATATACATCAAAATACTTATTAGGTCTTTACCTATGAAATTGCCGTTTTGCATGAAAAACTTTCAATGAATTTTTTGATTTGAAATGCGATGAAAATGTAACACTAATCAATAAACAAATGACTACTTTTGGAAAAAGAATCCCATGTTTTTAAAACAAAATTAATTAGCCTTAGCTTAACAAAAACTATTTTGATTTGAAATGGCCAGTACTGCAGAACGGCAATTTCATAGGTAAAGACCTATTATGATTATCAATATTGATTGCGACACCTTTACAAAATATAATTACGCGGGTATTAACGCGAAAAGTATTTATTTAATTTACCTAGTTGAATCTTCATCATGACGATTCATCGTCCGAGTGACCACAACCTGTGCTACCAGGTCGAAACGTCAAGCCTACTAAGATGCACGGGCCTGCGGTCGGCGAGTAAGAGCAGCTCGCCGCCCGACCAGAACCAGGCCCGAGCGTACGGCGCGTAGCGTTCCGCGCGCGCCTCAAAGAGCCATTAGACCACCACGGACGGGGCCCTAAAGGGCTGATGTTCAGCCGGGGTTGCGGGGTAAGCGCAATGAGGCACAGCGACCTCGGCACAGAGCAGGAGAAGGAACAGGGGGGTTTTTAGTCAGTAAGAGTCTGACACTCCCTCCTGCCCGGCCCTGAGCGGGAGAAGTCATTTGATGATTTTCCCCTCACAAAAAAAAAGCCTAATAAGGTATTTAAATTAATACTTTTGTTGGAAATATGAAACGCGAAAGTTTATAAGTAAGTATTGTTGACACCATTTTTATTTTAATAGGTATGAATAATGGAATAACAGAAAAACAATCTGTAATCTCAGTACAAACATCAAATATTTATAGTGATTCGTGAAAGCCTTGAAGGGAATGTTAGGAACACAAAGCTAAAGTACCTGTCATACAATTTCCGTGGATTAAATCAAAAGAGAAAAACTGGATAAGAAAAAAAGCATTTTTTCTAGAAAGAAAAGTCTTAAGAAAACTTATCCAAGCGTTATTAATAAGTTCCAACTTGTGTAATGTTCTGAGAAAGGGCGATAAGTGTGCCGTTTACATCAAATCTAAAAGAAGTCTATTGTTGAAGAGTGAGGCTCGTCACGACATGCCTAATAATACGAATAGATTGATGAGATCGTGGGAGGTGTTCGTGCCTAAGTTACAGCTACAGAATCATGAATCTAGGTTTAAATCAGGCTTATAGATGTAAACGCACTTGGTCTTTCAGTGGTTAACCAATTTTGATCCCTACATCATCATCAGCCTAAGTGCCCACCGCTGAGCAAAGGCCTCTTCTCATACTGAGAAGGTTAGAGCATTAATCACCACACTTGTTCAATGCGGGTTGGCGATTTCAAACTTATAATTAGAAATTATAAGTCCAGGTTTCCTCACGATGTTTACCTTCACCGTATGTCAGTAGTGTCTAAATAATCATAGAAAGTTTAATAACTCACATTGGTACTTACCAGGTTTCGTACCTCCGGGCCACCACGACACATATCACTTTGTAAGTCTCAATTAAGCCGTACTGAGTTTTGGAACAAATTTATTTTTGTATCTTTATCTCATTCGGCAATCGCAGCAATTCATACTATAAATATCTTGTACGTATATCAAGTACGTATATACGTTATGATCTTCCAGAGGATAGCGTACTGTCACTCATTTATATCTTTGAATGCCATTTTACAACAACACACTTTTGTTGTATCACATCATCAGCCTATAAGTCTCC